CCCCTCTCGGTGTCCCCCCTGTCCCAGGTCAGGACATGTCCCCAGAGTGCACAGCAATGAATCCCCAACCTGCAGCCCGGGGCTTCCTCCAAACAAACTCCATCTACTGCCATTCAACCATTTCAAACTCGTGCCTTGACAATTTCAAAGCTGCCACTATTGAACAAGTTGCCAAAACAAAATCATTCAGCTAAACTACTTTTTATTTTTCCCAGCACTTTTTATTAAAGTTTCTTTTCACGCAAACAATTTGAAATAGAAAAACATTACCAAAGTGTCAGCTAAAAGAAAACCTAAGCAGCACACAACCTTCTTTACTGAGAATAAAATTAGCATCTTAATATTAAAATATATCTGTGCTTCCTTAGACAACTGCCTCCCCCRGATTCTGCAGGGGTTTTTCCATGACTGGAATGGCACAAATGTCTGTCAAGCCATCCTAAACTGTCTCCTGTCASGTCTGCAGGGCAGGTCCTTGCTTTGCCGCTCTCACTCACCACTGTCAGCTCTTACAAAAGCTTTTTTACTGCCTGCAGTTATGTTCAGGTGAGCAGGCACTAGCAAGACGTTGTATTTTTATCCCATATAAACAGCACAGAAAGGTTAACTAAATGTCTTTGTYCAGGGGATGTACAGATTAGTCACTACGATACAAACTATTTCTTCTGCATACTCCATTATAAAATTGGATTTCTCAAGGAACACAGGCTTATTCTGGAATTTTACCTCTCCAAACCGAGAGTGCATCTCTGCAGTATTTTCCTTATAGCTGATCACAGTAACAGCATAAATAACAGGCATGGTTTAGCAAACATGGTGAAAGTTACACTCAGCTAAAAAAGCTGCTGTTAATATGTGATGCCTTTAATCTGGGAACATCTTATAAAAAAAAAAAAAAAAAGCAACACACAATACTACACCCTATCCACTGCTTTGCTTTACAGCAAACAGATTTATTATAGGAACTTAATTTCTGGTGCCATACGGCTGAGACATGTGAACACAACCTGATCAAAATACTCTCAGGACACTGCCTTCACACTGTGTGCAACCACTMGATCTAACGGCACACACAAAGCTTGGAATTTATTTTTTTTTCAGATTACACCAGACACAGAGACAGATAYGCAAAAACAAGAGGAATAAAAATATTCATAGCTCAAGAAGGGTGGTAGAGATGGAATGGCTCCAGTTCATCKCCTGCCTCTGCTTAGATTCGTTATAGCACAATGAATCAACATCACCCCTTTCAGAAAACACCCCGAGATCTGTTTATCTGGGGACAAATCCACCTAATCCCACTCACACAAACAAGCACAGCGACTTCACGAGAACTGCCAGTCTGGGAGAGGACAGCAGAATACATGCCCTGTTTGTGACCAGTCCTGGGAGTCCTGTGGGCTGTGACACTGTCCCGTTTGTCACAACACATTGGAATCTGAGCCAACGTGGCACCTGCCCTGCCAGGACCCTCCTGCCCCAGTCAGCTCGGGCACACTTTTGTCTAAGCTGGGAACACAGGTCACCACTGCCAGGCCCTGGCTTTGGAAACCAGGAGCTGTCTCTCCCCAACTCACAAAACCAGCCTAAGAAATCCAGSAGAGAGGATCTTTCCCATTCTAGGACTCTCAATATATCCCTGCAATTGGCAAGGTCCCATGAGGAACAGGGACTTTTTCCTCTTTTTACAGGAAAATCCTTCTTATTTGTCCATGAAAGCCAAAGTCTCGACTGCAGGGTGAGACAGCTCTTCTCTGGCTTTCACTGCCAAGGTGTCAGAGGCAGCAGCAGCTGC